TCGAGTACTGGTTATGGTGTATATTTGTTATTATTACTATTATTAATAATATTATTATATGCGTAAACGCCCATCACTGCCTCCCTAGCTGTGTACACAGTAGCTCTGCGTATTTCAAAGTATATTCGTTTTGCAAACCGAAGGTCCAAAGTCTGCTATGGCACCAGCCATCAAAGCTTCTTTACCGTTTCCCTACCATGAGTAGAATATAAAAACTGTCAACAACCACCTCGTACCTATAATACCGGACACGAAGCCTTCACAACAGGCACTGCTGAAGCGAATGCTAATGATTTTTATTTTCGACTTGTCCCATTATTATTGTGATAATCATTCTCTAGGTACTAACAATAATACTAGGAGAATATTAAACAGACGTAACTGGACACTGCGATGCATCTTAATAAGCTATGAGATTTGAATTGCCTGTTAACTGACATCCGGAGTTGCTGGTGCGTTGTTTCAGCCAGTGTCTTTTATTTTTCCGTGCAATATGGTCATTTCGAGTGTCTGTGTGGTTTGTGTACGTTGCTGAACTCGCCATTGCTTCACTAAACGTGCTCTGGGGACAGATACAGGATTTGATGACTATGAAAGGTATCTGTAACATTCATTTTCACTTCACTTTGGAAGCAACAACAATCTAGAATTGTTAAAGTAAGACTAAGAGGTTTGGGGATAGAAAAAAGACTATAAGAGGTATCTGCAATATTGTATTTTTATTATGATACTGACCTACATTGAAATATATTAGAACGATCTGCAAAAATGAAAACATATTGGAACATGTTTCGCTATTTAATAAAATAGCGTCAAGTAGGTTGACTCTGCGCTTCCGTCATCGGTTCATAAATTATTAAGCTCAGCACATGTTAAGCCCTCATAGAAAAGAATTAGTTACGAGCCTGTATAATAGATAAATTAAACGGATCAAGTGAGTCAAACAGGGCCATACAATTAGTGCATAGACACTCTTTCCCTGCCATACCGATAGTTACCTTCCATCTGGCAACGTTGCCTTTTACCATATCGTCAGACGCGATAGTGTCCAGCGAAGCACCGCCGCAATACGAGCCGAGCAATCAAACAGAACGTCACGCCGGGCGTTTAGGCCAGATAACAGAAGGTGCGCGTATCGAGAACATTTCTCGATGAAGTCTGAAATATGGCTGATATGTGGATAGAATTACCAGGGTTGGGGTCGTAAAAATATACTACTCAAGATCATCTGCAAGTCAAAAAACGAAGTTTGAGCGATTTTAATTTTTTTCTCTCGTTTTTTGACCTATTTCTTTGCCGCCACTGGACGGATTTTCACAAACTACAATGCTTTTGCGTCCTTGGCATAGTAGTAACATTGAGTAAGAGCTTAATCAAAATCTGAGCGGCACTTCTCAAGTTATAGGCGGTTATAAAATTAGCGGACAAACTGACAGACAAACCAACGGAAATGAGTGACACAGTACACAATTTTCTAAATTTATCGTGATTACAATACTTCCTCGCCCAGAGGCGTAACAGGTAAAATGTGTACCTGTACATTTTCTTAAACGGAAAGATCATAGGTTCTTCTTTCTCATGAAATTGGTTTATTCAGATGTTAGAGTTTTCACTACATAGATTTTTCCATATATATATATACAGGGTGACTTCGAAGTTGAGTCATTTATTTTAACAGTGAGTAGATCTGATCAAAAGAAATGTTTTTTTCCTTTACCATTTTTCTGGTAAAATTAAAGTAACAAAGTTATAGCCCTTTGGAAGTTTGAGTACCGCCCTGTCTCAATAATAATATCATGTACTCGTGATTGGCAACAACGGATATAATCCGCCTTACCAGTTCATCGCATCGGAAACAAAAAAGCGAAAGAATTTGGAACGTTTTTGCAATTAAGTATTTTATTCAGTTCAGTTATACATACACTCAGTGTCTGTCGGTTAGCGTGTGAATAGTGTCTGTTGCGTGGCTCAAACGAAATAAAAAATGGCACATGTTTATGCGGATCGGTTTCCCAATCGAGTGCAACCAACCCCTCGTGCCTTTGTTAATGTAGTACAACGGGCTCGTGAATCAGGTGACTTAAGACCTCACAGGGGACCTCACGATCAAATACAGGTCCGCACTGAAATACTTGTCGGGAGGATACTTTATAAAACAAGGTAAAAATTTTTTTTTAATTTTTTTTATTTTTACACACATATTCTGGTTTATCTTCCTTCTAAAATCATTATCTGAAAATTAATGACTCAACTTCAAAGTCACCCTGTATATATATATATATATATATATACATGTACATTCAATTCGGGCCTGATGAAGCCAACCAGCAGAGATACGTATCGCTCGGGTTACCTATCCTAATTTCTGCTCGAATCCACTTCCATCCTTTTTGCGAATTTTGCCCATTATTTTCCTACTTTTTGTTATATATATATATATATATATATATATTTAAAAATTATAGCCGAGGACATAACAGAACCACTCACTTACCTAATCAACAAATGCTTTGAATCTGGCATATATCCCTCAATTTTAAAAAAAGGTAATATAATACCGATACATAAATCAGGAACAAAAACAGATGTTAACAACTATAGACCAATATCAATAATATCCAGTGTAGCAAAGGTTTTTGAAAAAGTTTTGTCTACTAGAATGATTCGATACCTCACAAAATTCAAAATGTTAAGTGAAAATCAATATGGATTTACAGAAGGGAAGGGTACATCGGACGCAATAACTAAAATTGTAAGTCAAATATATCAAAATATTGATAACAGAATCCCTTCAATCTGCATTTTTGTTGATTTAAAGAAAGCTTTCGACGCAGTTAATCACAAATTATTATTAGAAGCATTGGAGAGAATTGGTTTCAGAGGAAACGCGTACTCACTGATCGAAAGTTATTTGTCAAATCGCCCACAATGTGTGCAGATATCAGGATCATTTAGTAAAGAAATGTATATTAAGTGTGGTGTCCTACAAGGAACTGTCTTAGGTCCGCTGTTATTCAATATATATTTAAATGATATTTTCCAAATTAATTGTGTTGGCAAAATAACTAGTTTTGCAGATGATACTGCAATATTATATGAAGGCACTGACTGGTCTGATCTGAAAAATGTAATTGAAAATGATTTTATCAAAATTATTCGGTGGTTTAACAGTAGAAAATTAAGCATTAACTACTCTAAAACACATTTTTTACCATTTGGATCTTATGCTAGACATCTGCCAAATTACACAAATTTCTCCTTCAATATTAATGATCAAAAAATGCAAATTAATAGAGTGCCCAACATAAAATACCTTGGAGTGGTCTTGGATCCTCACTTACGATGGGACATCCATGTCAATTATATTTTAAAGAAAGTTAGATTTGTATCCTACAAAATTAAATACCTTGGGAATATATTGACAGAAAAATATTTTCAAACATTATACCATGCACTGATTGAGCCTCATCTCACATATGGTATATTAGCATGGGGAGCTGCATGTTCCTCACATATCTATAATTTAGATGTTTTTCAAAAAAGTATTCTAAAAATGATATTTAAAAAACCGAAACTTTATCCCACTGAAAAATTATATGCAGATGTTCCAATGTATGATATAAGACAGCTTTACTTCTTACACAGTATCACTCACTACCATAAATTTGTAAACACCGACCAAAAAATTAAACATAATCATTATACCAGGTACAAAATTCGTGGCACAGTAGTTCCTCAACCGCATAAATCTATAATGCAGCGATCATATCTCTATTTAGCGCCTAAATTTTATGAAATTATACCTAAAGACTTAAAAGATTTACGTTTCGGAAATTGTTTCAAAAGAAATTTAAAAAAGTGGCTACATTCTATATCTAGGACTGAAATTCATAAACTCATAAATACGAACATCAACTAAATACATAATCTACTGTAGCTAATTTTTGTCCTTTTTTGTCATTTGCATTCTACAGTTTCAACTTAAATTATTGGTCCATGTACAGGCGATGCCTTCTATTGGGCCTGTTTTGATTTTATATTTATTTACTCATATTGTTTGTTACCTTTGTACATTGAGTAAATAAATATTATTATTATTATATTGACTTGCTTTTTACCAGTCTATGTTGCAAACTTACAAGAAATTCCTTATTGGTCATAAGAAGATTTTTAATTACCAAGAAGCCCAGAAAAGAACCTTCTATTTAGGGAATACTTTAGGTTAATGTTAGGTAAACTATATAAGCTCTCGATTTGTCTTCGAGGTCAAGAATTTTTTAATTGCTTTGTAGAGGCGTGTTTTTTGAAGTTTTGAGCTATCCAATTTCACCTAGGGTCATAGGTCTATTAGGGCCCTAATTTAGTGCGTAGTTCCCAGTCTTTGACAAAGGTTTCAACTGTCAAGACAATTTAACTTTTGAAGATATCATTCAAGGATATAATAACTCAAATTTGACAAATATAGGTAACTTTTTCTTGACTAGTACCCTATTTTTACAAAATGTTAATTGGAATGGTATTTTTGGAATTACGGAAATCGGAATCAGTTCTGAAACCAGGCAATCAAATCACCGAAAGGAACGATTTTCCCTAGCTCTAGCTTATTAGAGAGCTAATATTGAAGCGTTGTATTTCATATTAAAAATCCTAGTAGAGGCTTTACACGTCGAAGATAAAAGCATTGCACAGTCCCGGGAAGCCTTAAACTTCACAGTATATTTCGTTCTTCCTTTTCCTCGGAGTGATTCTCTATATGTTTCTAGCCGCTTCCTTCAGATTGCAACAAAGAGTGCATCCGTCCGGTGTGAACGACAAAATAGAGAAGATGCATTTTAATAACCGTAATAAAGCTGCAAAGGCATTTAGTATCACTCTGGTCAAGCGCTGCAAAAAGTTGTTCGGGAAAGGCTATTTATCCGCGTAATCAAGTACGTATTATTTTTATAGCTTGCTAGGCAAGAAATAGTTGCACCTTTATTTTCGAGATCTGATGATACATGGTCGCACCACTTGAAACCCCAAATACCTGATAAAGTGTGCGGTTGCTGATTTGACAGGATGTTGAGGTTATCGATGCTTCTAGATAATGTAAATAACAATAAATTGCTTATAGTAACTGGCGACTTTAACGTTCAATTCATTAAAAATCAATATCAAGCATTACGTAGTGAACTTGCTTGATAGCGCTGGGCTTGAGGTTATGGTGTTTTTAGGAACTCGTAATATATTTACAAATTCTCCAGAAATTGAAAGTTTTAATGATCGTCCAATTACCGACGTTGGTGTTTCCAATCTTAAGCACATAAATTGGGACTTTGTCGAGAATCGTAATATGTCTATTGAATGCATAACTAAAAAATTCGTCACAAACCTCGTTGATGAAATTGACAGAAAGATTCCAGCCAAATCAAAAACAGTCTTACTTTTAATTCATCTTGGTACAACTTAAATCTTCAGCGCATGAGAAATCAATACCAATTTTTGTCAGAACTACACAAAGCTCATTCTCAATTTGCTGATAAAAAGTATCTCAACTTATACAAGTGTGAATATAGACGTGCGATAAATCAAGCCAAAAAGCAAGCTAACGATCGTTATATTAAAAATGCTAAAAATAGACAACAAGCAGTATGGAATGTTATTTTAAACAAAAATCCAATAAAAAGCCAACACACCAGCACGACGCTTCTGACTTTAATCTTTAGTTTATTCACATTGCAAAAAATCCAGTAGACCAAATTCTACCTTCAGCTTCAACGCATACGAGCTCTTTGCATACAGAAGGTACCAAATTCTACCTTCAGCTTCAACGCATACGAGCTATTTGCATACAGAAGGTTTTGTTTTTAAAGAAGTTACCTATAATCAAGTCAGGGCAGCGATAGATAAATTAAATAGATCTAAAAGTTCTTATGTTTTCAGTTTCAATGCAAAAATTATTACTATCATTCAAAACCTCATTATTATACTGTTAACAAAATTATTCAATTGGTGTATTTCAAATGGTATAGGTATTTCCTGATATTTTCAAACTGTCGAAAGTTATCCCCCCTCCTTAAAAAGGCGATTCCAACGATCTTTCAAATTATAGACCTATTCCACGTATCCCCCTACCTGCTGAGATACTTTTTGTGATCTTACTAGGGTCTTCGATTGTGTCTAACTTGACAAAAATTGCCGCATTATAAATTCCATAGTAGTAGCATTAGGCTCCTGACATCTTATTTGAGTAACAGACAGCAGCTTGTAACCTTCAACAACACTACCTTCAGTACAACGACTGTGGTGTCCCACAGGGTTCTGTGCTGGGTCTACTTTTATTGTTAATATACATAAATGGCCTTCCTAATTGTTATACGAGGAAAAACCTTGTACTGTTTGCCGATGACATAACAATGCTCGGTAGTAGCAAATCAATTGATCTACTTTTCTCTGAGAATATTCAATATACTCGTATAACAAATTCAGAAAACTGGTTTAGCAAATAAACTGACACTTAATGCTTCAAAGACACAATCCATGGTAATAATTTTGTATCACCATAGGCACAATTAAATTTTTGGTGTCAGTATTGATACACACATGACTGGTGATACATTGCTAACCATATATGATGGATACTTCCACTCAAGAAAGTCATCAACCTAAGGATCCTTACTCTTCCATCTCTATATGTAACATACGAGTATTTGTCTGCTTATGTTAGGTACACAACAATTTGGATCTAGACAAAACGCACAGTGATGTACGTAGTTACAATACACATAACATGCATAAGCTAGATATTCCTAAACATCGTCTGCAAAGAAGTAGAAACGGTTCTAACTACTATGAAGGATACGGTTCTTTCTGAGGTACCGGCTCATTTAAGTATAGAATAAAGCGTACCTTATCAAGAAAGTTTTTTACAACATCGAATAATTTTTAAGTAATAACTTTTCGGATCTCTTATAATCGTGTTGTAGTGTACTTGTTTACTTTTACTCTGTTTGTTAATTTGTTCGTATGTGTTTGTTCTATAGTTTTGTATTTATTTTAGATTCATAATATCATTTTACAGTTTTTCTCTTAATATTGTTTTTTACAGTTTCTGTTAATGTTGTTCTTCCCAACGAATTTAATTGTTTTGTGAATTTACCCTTTTGTATTTTAACGCTGTTGTATTGAGCACCAATAAAGAAATGATAATGGAATGATACAGTGTACTTCAGAATGAATGCGCCAATAAATCTAAACTTGTTTTAAAGTGAATGTCCCATGTTTTATTGCAGATTCAGACATATCCTTTCATACTAAATTTACATTTTAGGGTTATGAGGGGTTTCAAAATGAGGTATCGCATGACCCTCATCCCATATAAAAAAGTGTTCGACCGTTAATTTTACATCTATCTATTACTAAAAATACTTTAGGAATCCAGATCCAGTCGATGCGATGGTCGCACCACTTAAGACCCCAAATACCTGACAAAATGTGCCGTTGCTCTTCAAAGCTGATTCGACAGGATGTTGAAAGAAAAAACATGAAACAAAAATCAAGCGACGTTTCCAGTTATGTCACATGGGTCGTGTTACCATCTGAAATGAAACCGTAACAGATGTCACTTAAAAAAACAGTACTCTGCCACTGGCAAAGACGTTCAAATGTTGCCAAAATGCAGGTACAGCTCTGGCCAAAATTAATATACAGGGTGTTAATTAAGTATGTACCATAAATTTAGCAGACAAAAAGTTCATATAAACATAGGTTCGCGAATTCTTCGTTCTCAAGATACAGGGTATTGGAATTTAAAATAAAAATGGTATTTCGTAAATTCACTTTACCTAAGTCTTGAAGGCATATCTTTGAGCAATAGAGCTTGCACACATTGCATATGATATGGATGTAACTGGTGGCCTCTTAAAATCTGCCACAATGTGACAAGGGTAACATTCAGGTCTTCAGCTGTGGCTCCCTTCTTATGCAAACTTAAATCCTATGGCCTCCTAGAGAAGCTTTGCAAATGGTTGTCTCACTCGCCGCACTTCCTCCTAATTGACGGGATTTCCTCTTCATCCCACAATGTCAGCACGGGCTTTGGCAGCTGCTGGGAAAAATCTGACGACTAGCTATTTGTCTGGGGATAAGAAATATATTTCTCCAGATATCCTCCTCTCTATGTACAAGACCCAGATAAGAGCCAGCCTCGAGTACTGCTCACATGTTTGGGGTGCTGCCGCTCCGACTACATTATCCATGCTTGATGCTGTTCAGAGGCGGCCTAGCTCTCTTCTACCGCTATGTCAACGGGCTTAGCTCCTCAGAGCTCTTCTCCATAATATCGCCACGCGATGGGCCTGCCACACAGACCCGCCTCCCATCTTAACCGTGTCAAAGTTCTCATATCCAGTCGATACGACCGCTCTTTTCTCCCTAGGATATTGAGATTGTGGAACAATATGTCTGACAAGGTTTTTCCCAATTCTACTAACCTCAGCCAGTTCAAAAATCTGATTAAGAAAGTTTCTTCAAGCTCCTCTTAGTAGCAGCGGTGTCCTGCCTACGCAGCTGATTTTATGAAACACGTGCCCAATTAGATCGAAATATCCCTAAAATAACATAAGCTTGCAAAATGTGGTCGATAAAAGATGGAAACAAACGCATGTAAGCTCTGTTTAACGTATTTAAATTGTCAACATTGATTATTTAGGTATGCACCAATCATAAACATGTACTGCAATAAATATTCGCTGGTAGCAGTAGTGGTACTAAGTATACCGATCTCAAGCGTTATTTGTATTAAATGGTGTACTTGAAATGAATTACATAGTGGATTAACGATAAGTAATTTTGGGAGCCATATCCTGCAAATAGTACAGTTGAAAAGGAGCAAATCGTGTTTTCAACATATACAATTCTTGTATATACAGGGTATAAGGTTAGTAGTGGATCACCGGAAGTCAGGTGATAGAGTGCCGACATTTTATAGTTCAGGAGAATTTTGTGAAATTTCGAAAAAGACACAACTTACAATCGCAATTACAACTAAACCATTAGGTTTAGGGTTGTGATTTTTTTTCTGAAGTGAGCTAAATGGTTAGTTTTGAGCAATGGTTATGTCACTTTTTAACAGAGCTAATTAGAAATCAACGCAAAAAAATCTTAAATTCATTTTTTTTTGTGGAAAATCTCTTCCAACCCTCAACTTTGGAGGGCGGTAAAAAAAATGAGGTTATATTTCATTAGTCATTTTATTGTAAAAACTATTTCAATCCATGTAGAATAATCCCTGAAAATTTCAGTTTGCTACGATAAGTGCCTCACCTTAAAAAATCTTTGTTTGACGCAGGAACTTCTATTTTACGAGCTACAGTTAGATTCGTCTTAGCAGTACGAGGGATACTGTGCTTATTAGAATTTTTTAAAATCAAAATGGCCGATTTCAACGCAAATAGCCAAATCAAAACTAACTATCTCAAAAAAAACACAGCCCAAAACCTAATGGCTTAGTAGTAATTGCGATTGAAAGTTCATTTTCCCGTTTTTTTTTTTTCGAAATTTCACAAAATTGCAAATATCGCCTGGACTATAAAATTTCGGACCACACATATAGGGGTTCATTCGATATGTTTTGAGGCCCTCTATCACATGTCTTCCGTTGATCCACTACTAACTTTACACCCTGTATATATCACGCAATACCTAAGGGGCAAGGTAAATTGTTGCACTCAATGTATTATAAGCATTATATGAAGCTTATAATAGCCACTGCATTGAAACTGTAGCTCGCCCCATGTTGAGGCTGATTTTAAAAGCTAGGTATACTGTTTCACAAATAACTATGGAATTAATAGAACTTACAAAGAAATAAAGCATTTTTGAAGAGCCGGGGTAGCAAGTTTTCTCAAGAGGGCGGCTGATCAAAAAAATCTTAAATAAGGTACATGAAATTATGCTAAATATGCAAATTTTAGGAGGCAGCCAGATTCACATAAATGTTCAAATAAATTGCGCTTTTTCCCGTCATTTTTAAAGAATAAGAGAATGAGAAATAATAAAAGATGAATGATACAGTCCAGTGATAATAAAATATGATATGAAACATTTTG